TTTTGCTCGACCCTGTGCATCGGGTCACATCATTTTGGAGTCTACTTGTTCGGTTATTTGATTCCCCACAGGGCCAAGTTGATTAGTCTCACCCGTCACTCTGGTAGCGAAGTGAACGAAGGCCTCAAATTCGACTACAATCAAGCCCACTAGGCGCCTATCGGCAAGCCACGCTTCCGAATTAAAATAAAAAAACATCGTGAGTGAAACTAACTAGCTTAGGTACCTAACGAATACCAAGACGTATACCAAGACGTATACCAAGAAGTATATCAGTAGGTATACCAGTACTAACGTCGCAGGTTCATCGTACGCTCAAGCATCCGAATCGAGGGAATAAGACTCGGCATATTTTTCGGATGACCTCGCCGCGCTGACTGAAGTTGCCCATGTCGTTACATAATTCCATTCCCAACACACCTGCAGCAACCCAGCGAATACGAGGGGCGGGTATCCCAATTTTGCGAAGACGCGTTATTGACATAGGTTTTTTTTTTCCGAGTCCATGCGAGTCTCAGGACCCTACCAGCCTACGTCGATTCCACGCGCCTTACACGAACGTAGCCGTATGCACCCTGCTAGCAAGGTATACCAAGAGCATTTTACCGTCATATTTACCCGGGCTTGAAGCTCAAGTAAAACAACCTCGAGCCCCTAGAAGAGCCTCTCAGATTAATAATCCACTATCCAAAATGCTACGGCTGATGAAATGAAGTCAGAGGATCTTCAATTGGTTATCCATGTAATTTGTCCGTGTAATTCCGGCATTGCTCTAACCTATGCTCTAACATAGGTATGCTCTAACCTAGTTATACGTTTCTTCTTACGTTTGGTCAACAACTGTCCTATTACATGAGTCAATAAGTCAAGTTACCACAGCTTTCTATATTGATTAGGCCGAAAGTTTCCGTATGATGCTCCATATTTTGCTCCCCATCTCCACGTAGGCTGGTAGGTTGGACGATGGTGGTATGAGCATGAATATGAGCATGAATATGAGCATGGAAGGATTGTTCCCTGCGACATGTGCGTTCCATTTTCTGAAGCAACCAGAATTATTGGGATTATCAGATTGACCGATGTGGAAAGCAGATCTCTGATAACCCTGCCGCCAAGAACTGCATTGCCGATCACTCTTAACCACGAACCTTTCAGCTGCTGCGACTTTCACTAGCGACTCGACACTCCTTATGTAAGACTAGTTGGGTTTCCTAGTTAATTCAAACCCTAGTAGATATGTATGCATTGTATTATATTGTATGTATTGTATTGTATTGTATTGTATTGTATTGTATTGTATTGTATTGTATTGTATTGTATTGTATTGTATTGTATTGTACATTATTTACCATGAGATGTACAACGCGTGAGCAAACCCACAAGTGTGGATTGCGAATTTCAAGAAAGCAGGAATTAACAGAACGCCTTACATGGGTGAACGTTGAGTATCAAAAGCACATAGGACGGCTTAGAACGCCATTGACGTCAACGACAACCAATTGCTTTCATCCAATAAAAATTTCTACAGAGTATATCCATGTTTTATTCTCCTGTTCTAAGCCATTGCCGTTTCTAACGGTTGCGCAAAAGAGACGACTTATTATACTTGAGTCGATAGGAGAAATCAATATATTAAGTAAGTTACTTTTAGACCAACTAACTACCTAGCTATCTTCAACTTCTTCTTTAGTAATAAATTATTTATCATCATAAATGATAACATGGCCTAAAATATCATATCAATTATTATTCTTTGCTACCTTTTCTCTCCCTAGTTTCGCCCGACTAACCAGAGTCCAACTTTAATTTTTCTTTTTTCTTTTGTCCCTTTTTCCTTTTTTCCGTGTCTCTCTTCATTTGCCCCTACCCACGCCACGATCTCGTCTAGGTCATAGTGGAGTGTCCACTAATCACAATGACATCGAGTTCAGCTGAGATTGACAGGAACTAAAAACTACATTCCAATTAAAATTTTCAATGTGGCTACTATAAACTTGATTCTTTTAACTCTAAAAAGCCAATAGAAAATGCAAGATATATTATTACAGCTCATTCTCCAGTCATCGACTCTGCTTTGATATGAATCGTCAATCAATTTTTAGATCCATGTCTCAGCCCATGGACTGCGGCTGCAAGAAAATTTCCAGCAGTCTGGATATAACCTGGATGTAAAGTCCGGATGCAGTCCGGATATCTGAATGTTACGGTCCTCCCGAACGGGCATTCCGAAGATCAGATTTTCGGTAAAGGACAAGACAAAGAAGCAAAGAAGCAAAGAAGCTTAGGAGCTTGCTGATTGCGGTTGATGAGTTCCAATATACGATACCCAGGATTATGGTTTTACCTTCTCCCTGGCCTCGCAAGAATAAGTGACGTGGTGATATATATGGGCGCTTCTCAGTCATATGACAATTCACTATATGCCGGTCGCGCGTCTAACCGCATACCAAAACTTGTCAGCTCATATATGCTGTGTTACCGTAGCGCCTTTCTGGCCCGTAAACATCGGTCAATGTTTCAAAAGTTTGTGAAGCATTTACCGTCTAGATCCTATAAGACGACCCAGCCAATAACAGTAAGATCCAACGAGGTAGCTATATGAATTGTGGCTTGCATTACATTGCTCCCTGGCTTGTTTCTATATGACTTCTATCACTTATCAGCTTAGCCGCCACAGACTCGTATCATTTTTTTTATTTTATTCTTTCATTATAATTATTATTGCCACTTTGAACAGCCCCTTTTTTCCAAATACATACTTCTCTGCATGTCAGATGCTCAACCGTGATAATTGTAGCAAACAATGATTTCCCCCCCCCTTTACAGATTACGGGTTAGATACTCAATCTGGCAATGGGCCGTTGGGTTTCTCGACACCCTCTTGTTTAAACGCGAAATGAACAAATAACGTGGCAGCACAGCAACCAGTAAACAGGTAGCTTGACACATAACATCTCACATTAAGCGACACATTTGTCAAGCGGCAGGACGGCAGGGAGTGAGCCAGCCGCCTCTCAGGCGGTAAGATATCACACACGCAAGGTATGCCTAGACCCGGATATCCAGCTCCTCGTAGACACACGGTGAGACGGTAAGGCATGTAGGTATCTTTTTAGAGTGATCAGGATCATCATTGAAGTAAGACGTGGCAGAGGATCGCAGTGAAGTTGCCTCTTTTGCTTTTCTAGCTTATGATATCTTCTCATAATGTGTTCAACATGCTCAATGTGCTCAATATCTCACCTAGCAAACAAACATCAAGTATGTAGGTAGGTATGTATGTATGTATGTATGTATGTATGTATGCATGTCTCGACGCGCTTAAACTTCAAACCAACATGGCATAAATCTTATCCGGTTTTTGCTTCTTATTATGCCACGTGCAAAGGGACGCTAAAGTAATATATTCTATTAATTGGATGTGGAGTTTATTCTAAGCCTGATTTAGCTGCCGTCGTGCTTCAGTTCCCGGAGCCGTGCAGCATAGTTATATCGGCCGATACATACCATAAGCCGCCCTAATTCTCGAACCGTATACTCGGGACAGGCAAAGCTAGCTATACTATCGACAGAAGGGTTAAGCGCGGCTTTTCTTTTCACATTCGACGACACTGGCGGTCAGAGTGGCAGTTTCCACCGCTCTTCTGTGCTGACTACATTCATTATACGAACTCACCTCCCAGGAGACGATGTATGTATGTATGGCAAGACTTAGGCAAATCTACCGGTTTCAGCATTGACCGGAGGGCGTTCGAAGTGAGGGTGAGATGCAGACTACACTCCCGGTACAAACCTCCGCATTTGGCTGTCTAAAATGGTTAGGATTAACAGTTGACACCTCGTACGGAGGAAATCCTATGTCAGCTTAGAGCTCGGCACTACGGACAAATGACGGATTGGTGTTTTAACTCTTACCTCTCCATCTTCTTTTCACCGGTCTTCAAAAATCTAGATAGGAACCAAGTACAACAACTCTAGTGAAAGCGTAGCATGACAACCGGAATATTTGTTTGCCCCTTATAGGCATTAATAAGCCATCGATGAGTGTAGAGAAGTGTGTTTGCTATATAGGTGAATAAGCCAAGTTACATATGGCCTCGGGCAACAATCCGCGCGATATATTCTGACCACCAGATAATGCAGGCTTACTTTCCGGCCCCCATGAGTAGTTGTCGGATGACGGTTCCGATGCGGATATTATTCTCGACCATGCGTGGGGGGGGTCTTACGACCTGACTTGACCCCGAGACGGGGGGAGGACAACGGGATGAAACGATGCCCTCTCTCGTCCATAACGTTGCATGTGTCAGCAAGCGACATATCTCCTGGATAATAGACCTCTGGGCATCTAGGTAGCAGCATTCAGCTAAAGAGAGCTCATATGAGTTCTAGTAAGCTAGCAAATCTAACCATTCAACCCATATTGAAGAAGCAACCATATGCCTAAGAGTTATCCATCAACTGAAATGTCATAAAATCTCGAAGACAAAACGCGCTTCGGCTTGAGGAAGATATTAGAAGCTGACAAGGCACCATGATACTATAGCAGTATTTGTGCCCAAAGGCCCAAACCACCCACACATATCTACCATGGGACTAGGTAGACAAATAATCTTTAAGGAAACGTGACGGATGCTAGCAATGCTAGATACTCAAGTAATGAATGTATACTTCATATTACAAGCTACTGTACAGGAAGTATAAGAGTGGTGTCTGATAGACTGGTTGATTTGATAATGTGATATCTATATGAAATATATTGTCTGTCTCTATACACACTGCATAATGTAGAGAAGCAAGCCATAACTATTACTACTAAGAGTCACGGACACCAAACAGAGCGAAGCTTCGATACGTGATTATATATTCACGTCTAATAAGTAACAGTAAACTCATGTGCACGTAGATATCTATCCATCCTCCATCCTCTGCATCCAAGACTTATTCCGGGCACTTACTCAGCTCCCCATCCCCTCCCCGTTCTCCCACCCTTACCCCATCTAGCAAGTAAACACCTTCGGCCCCGCGGGCTGGTACTCCTTGCCGCCGTTGTTGTAGATATTGATCATGATGCCCGGGTCCGTCGCCTTGTACGCGCCGGGGAACGAAACTAGCCCCCCAGGCTGCGCAGACCCCGAGCCGCCGCTGACGTGCACCTGCGCGCACGAGATGTAGAACTGCGCGCCGCCCGCCGCGGACGCCGAGTGCAGGGCCACGTGCTCGATCCGGAACAGGTAGTCGCCCTCCGCTAGGCACTGCGGGATGGTGAAGCTGATTTCGGATTTTCCTGGTTGGGGGGTTAGACAGGTTGATGTAGAAAGAGGAAAGGAGGAGCGTACCGTTTGATGGCCAAGTGTATTGTCCGCCCGACGCCGTGGGCATGTCCTGGTATACCTTGAACCACACGTTTCCGCTGCCGTCAAAATCGGCGGCGGTCTTGCCGGACGGGACCTTGGCCATGTATGCCGAAAGGGCTAGAAGACGACATCAAGTTAGTAATACATCTCATCTCATCTCACCTTGCCCAGTTTCGTCCTATCCCAACTCGCCCAAATAAGAGGCAGTCTTAAACTTTAAGGCTTCACCTATCTGCGTATATATATATATATGTGTGTGTGTGGTAACGTACTACAGATCGACAGACACGTTAGCATTCACCCCAACCTAAGCTGAACTAGAGCCGCAGATCTGCGTCTCGGCAGCAATCATTACGTACCCTCCAGGATGATAGATATTCGGGTTAGCAACCCAAGTGATCTGCCCACCGGCCTTGACCTGCGTGGTATCAGGGGCGCCGCCGGCAGCCCGCTGGTAGCAACGAATAGCATCCGAGTTGACGTCGGTCACAGGCCCATTCGACTGGAAGTTTGCCGTCTGCCGAACGGAGCTCCAGTCCGATGTGCCCGCGAGCTTCGGGAACGTGTCTATAGTGCGAGACGCTTTAGTTAGACCTGCTCTTCATACGTAGGTACCTAGGTAGGTATATCATATCGTCTTCATTCTCAACGATAGAAAGATGAAGAACCAGATATTAAACTGGGTAGTGAGTGAGTGAGTGAGTTTACGTACAATGCGGAGCGGCCTGGGCGCTAGCTACGAGGAGCGCGAATGCTGCTGCGGCCTTCATTGTCGTTAAAAGTCTCGTGATGCTTATATATTAGGTAGGTAGTTATATATATATATCTAACTAGACGAAAAATGTAGCTGAGAAGACGGATACAGCATCAATGTCCTACGCAGGCAAACAACATCCACGCCGCACCAACGCGGAAGCAGAGAGGTCATCATCTTATAGTATTATTGTTAAGCGGGAACTTGCAGAGGCCTAAATCGAGACGGAGTCTGTCCTTGCGTTTTCCAGGTATGGTGTAGTCACCCCTGTGTTTGCGGATAAAAAGAGGTCATTTCCGGTTATATTGGGTGGCCACTCACAAGCACCCAAATCGACCTCGTCTGGGTCTCGCTGCAAAAACTAGTCGGCAATACTACTGAACACACAAATGACGCACCTATCTAAGAATAGGGTGCGTATATCGTGAACATGGGCCAAGAACATTCGATTCCCGGGAAACCCGGTACGGTGAACGTTGATTCTTAGCAATATTTATAACTGCCTCAGTATAGAACTCTCATGTTAAGGCAGTAGACCTTGAATTCATGCTACGTATTCATTTGCCTTGTCTCCTAGCGAGAACAAGACAGATGCCAGTCTACATATACATATGACCTCGTAGTAGGTCTTGAAGCAAGTCCAACCTGCACAAGTCAGTAAACAACATACCTCTCTCTCGACTTGGAAGTCAAAAATTGGCAAGTTGTACAATCTCGAGTCCAGAGTTGCTTCTCGTAGAACCAAAGCAGAATTCTGCATTTTCCACGTTCTCTCATGTTTCTGTAACGCCTGCATCTTGTTGGGTGACCAAATTAGGTAGTGCGAGTTGTGTAAATCTGGATGGACATGCACAGATACCTTCGCAAAGTGTCGACACGAAACGACGTCTAAACATCCGTACCTCTAAACACAACGCCATCTGTGCATATGTGCAATAAAAGAAAAGGGAATGCAATCCGGCAGATACCTTACGACGTTTTAAAGATCCCTATTAAAGGTTATCACCATCGTCGGTTGTTGATGGGCAAAGAGTTAGCGCCGCCAGCACCACCGCCGCCTATTGAGAATAAATGTTAGTATTGTGTTTCTGAAAACCTAAAAATCGATAAGATATACCTCGGTGACCACCACGACCGTAGCCTCGTCCGCCGAAGCGGCCTCCGCCACCACCGCCGCCATAGCGGGCCATCTCATGAAGTCTAGGATCAATTTGCTGCTTAGCTTCTTGAAGAACTGCGACTAGATCACGAGCCTGCTTAGAATCTGGGAAGTTGTTAGTCATAGCCGTTAGTAATATTTATTAGTAGACACTTACTGTCAGCAGTAAAGAGAGTAATGGCAGTGCCATTGGCGCCAGCACGGCCAGTTCGGCCAATACGGTGGATGTAATCCTCCGAGTTGTTCGGGTAGTCATAGTTGATCACATGAGTGATGTTGCGCACATCTTAATTACAATCTAATGTTAGCAAAACCGAAAACCAATGTTTCTGTAACAAGTCCCAGCGACGGACGTGCTGTGCCTAAGTATATTTTCCGTGCTTTCTCCTTGGAGAATTGGGGCTGTCTGTTGCATCAACATGCCAATTTGGAGGAATTCCAATAATCTGGTCTGGGTCCTAGGATCTGGGAGTCTGGAGATAGCTTGACAGAATCAAGAAATGCCAAATCCGTAGCCGTACCACGGGGACAATAAGGTACGACAACGGAAGATGGGTATAGTGTATCCGCTATACCACGGGACCCCAATATTCCTGAATAGATGAGAACCACAAGACACACTGGGAGATCAGGCAAATGCGCGCAATCGAGAGAGCCCCTAGACATAGAGTAAAGCACAGCGGATATAACTCTGCTGGAAGTTGATACGGGGGGACGGGGAGGGGACAGGGGGATTTGCAATCATACCAATACCACGAGAAGCAACGTCGGTGGCTACCATAATGGGACTCTTTCCGGTCTTGAACTGATCAAGAACCCAGTCACGCTCGTTCTGCTGTTTGTCGCCGTGAATAGCTGCCAATGGATTAGTTTCAAGTCGCATCAAAAGTCAGACATTTGCATAAACTTACAGAGGGCCGGCCAGCCATCTTGGCGGAGGAATCGCGTAATCTCGTCAGCGACTCGCTTCGTACCTACGAATAGAAGGCATTTGTTCTCTTTGTTGTCCATAATCTTCTCAAGATGCTTGATCATACGATCACGCTTCTCACCCTCGGATACAACCTCGACGATTTGCGTAATACGATGGTTAGCAGACAAGTCCAGGGAACCAATGTTGACCTGAATGAAGTCGGTTTGGAATTCGGCAGCTAAAGCACGAACTTCCTTAGGCCAGGTAGCAGACCACATGAGAGTCTGACGGTCAGGTCGAATCTGACTAATAATCTTGCGAATCTGGGGCTCGAAACCCATGTCCAGCATACGATCAGCCTCGTCAAGGACTAAGTAAGTCACTCGGCGTAAGTTAGTCTTACCACCCTCGAGCATATCGATCAGACGACCAGGAGTGGCAATGCAGACCTCAACACCCTTAGTAAGGTCACGGATCTGAGGACCACGGGGAACACCTCCATAAACACAAGTGTTGCGAATGCGCGAAGATTTACCGAATTTGGTAATCTCCTGCTGGATCTGCACAGCCAGTTCTCGAGTAGGTGCAAGAACAAGCACGATGGGACCATCACCGGGAGCTAAGAGAGGCTGGGCGTTGATGTGGACAATTGCCGGAAGGCAGTAAGTCAGCGTCTTACCGGAACCTGTCTCGGCAATACCGACGACGTCGCGACCAGAAAGAGCCATGGGCCATCCTTGAGATTGGATGGCAGTAGGAGCAGGGAAGCCTTGTGCCTTGACTTCATCCATCACATATCGAGGGAATCCAGCCTCATCGAATGTCTCGACAGGTTTAGGAACATCGTGGCCTTGGATAGCTATTTGATGATCTTTTCGGAATCGCTCAACCTCACTAGCCGGTCGTCGTGCGACGGCATCGTCCTCCTTGTAGAAAGACTTCTCGAACTTGGGAAGAGTGCCGAGGTCTATCGAGAACAATGTTAGTTATGACATAAGTAAGTAACTCAAGAATCTGGAAAGAACATACCCCATGTTTGCTTGTGTAGACCAGCTCCAAGGTTAGACATTCTGTCACCGCCTCCGCCTCCGCTTCCACCATAGCCGCCGCCGCCACCACCACCTCCGTAACCACCGCTGTTACCGCCATAGCCATTGCTAGAAGAGAAGATATGTTAGTATTGATAATCAAGGGAAGTAAAAGTGCTATGGGACAATAGCAAAATGTCCAAATGGAATTCTTACCCGTGACCATGCTCTTGACGACCACCTCCGCCGCCGCCTCCATACTTGTCGTGGCCATTAGAGTAGCCTCCTCCGCCGCCTCCTCCATTACGGGAGTTGTAGCCACCGTAAGACATGATGTATTTTTTGAGTCTGTGATGGTCAAGTTTGAAGTTAGAAGTACGCGAAGTGAGAATGTTCAGCGCAAACGAGGAGAACGATGTCGCGTCTGATCTGCCTGAGCTGATTGATTGTAACAAACACTATCTAAGGTGCAGCGTGCAATCTGCAAGAAAAGGAGCGGAAAATGGGGAAATTATGAGATGAAGAGTTATTGAACTCGAAGTGATAGAAAAAAAGGTGCGGTGATGAGTTTTTGAAGTCAAGAAGAAACCCTGAGTCAAGTAGTTGAATTAATTTTTTTTTTCTTTAGTCTCGAGGGAAGCAACAGTCTAGGCCTAACAGGTATGCAGGGATGTGGTCTGTGCGCGCCCCTTCCGTTTTTTGCCTCGCGTCGTTGTTATTACATACTACCGAGGTACCTAGGTACATATCAATTTTACACGTCCGAAGTGAAAGTACGTTAAGAAAGTACATAACAGCTGCTGGCAGGTGCCATCAGCTTTCGCCACTAGCAGATAAATTCTTCAATTATATTTGCCTCTATGTAACCTGATCATTTTTATATACCACCTATCATATATGAGAGGCTAAAAGATACATCAAGGCTATGCCAAATACCTAAAGCAAGTCGGCTAGGTGAAGATACACTGAAATTCAAACGACTACGATCTATATATCCTCTCCAGATGCCCGCGCTTCCCTTCTATAGTGATTCAACTCTACGAGATTCGACACGATTTAAGCTGATGGAAACATTTCCCAAAAGCCAATTTCCATCTATCTCAAAGTTAGTATTACGTGATGTGATATATTTTATCCCAATTGTCTTACCCTAGTAGCGTGGATGAAGATCTTGACCAGCTCTTCTATCCTTGATGGGGATTGTAAGACTGCGTTCTTTTCCATGAGAGCTATCACCAACATTCAAATCAGTATTTTCCGATAAGTCCCAGGCAGTAAGTAGATAAGGGGCGCTCTCACCAGACCCAGTCCCCACCGCCTCCACGTAGTCCTCTTCGATATAATTTACGATCCATTTCCAGTATGTATTACCCTCCGTCTTTGTTCTTGGGTCGCCGTGAAGCTGTTTTGCAATAGCTCCATAACCAAGGAGGCAAGGGGCGAGTGCAACTTGAAGGCCAAGCCAATCTTCCGACTGCCCAATATCAAGGACGTATCTCGTGTATGCGGTGCATGCTGAGCTACGAGTTAGCAATTGGATGTCGATGTGAGATAGTGAGTAAGGTTAGGGCTTTATACCTTGATGCTCCTCTGTCGCCTCTATCTCTTCTTTAGATATGCCGAACTCTTTACAATAGTCGAGATGAAGTTTCATCTCAGTATGGATATGCGACACGATTTTGGCGCCCTAATTTCAATATTAGCATCAATTTACTTCTTATTTAATAACTAGGTCCCTACAGCTGCAATATCCTCCATATTCTTGGATTTGTACGAAGCCAACGCGTTTGCCCTTGCGAAGTGAACTAAGTATAGGTAATCTTGTATCAGATAGCCTTTGAACGATTCAAGAGGCAATTCTCCGTTCCCGAGACCGAGGACGAATGGATGGTTAATAAATTGGCGCCACACTGGCAATACGTCAGGTCGCTCTAATAGGTATTCTAGGAAGTGTCCCCTTGTTGACATTAGCAAGATGCCAATATCAGGATAGGTTCGCGTTGAGTCAGGAGTAAACTAACCGAGAGAATGGAAGAGTCAGAACTGAATGGAAATGATTGATCGGACCGTTCCCTTTTCCGTATCCGGGCGCGGTCTTGATTCCTGCTTCGACATACCGACAAGCAGCCTTGACGGCTTCTACAGGTTTCAGTCCTTTGGAAAGATTAGAGGCGATGGCAGAGGCAAGTGAACATCCCGTTCCATGTGTGTTGGTTGAGTCTATGTATGGACTCTCGATTCTCGTGGCCTGTCCATCTCCAAATAAAAGGTCGACGACCAACTCCCTTTCCTCAGGGGTTGTAGCTATCGAACCGTCTTTCTTAAAAGGCACATGGCCGCCTTTAACGAGAACCCACTTTGGTCCTAATTCCAGTACCTTCTGGGCAATTACTTCCAAGTCGTCTACACGTTGGATATCGATAGTTCCCTTTCCACTCTCGGAGAGTAGTAGTTGTGCCTCGGGAATATTTGGAGTAAGGATGAACGTCTGTGGGAGCAGCAGAGTTCTTAACTCATTCACGGCTTCCAGGGGTAGGAGTTTGGCGCCAGTGGTGGCGACCATAACCTACTTATATTAAACCATCATGATCTTCCTTGGAAAGACCATCAAGCGAATGAACTTACAGGATCCAATACCAACGTCTCAACCTTGTAATCCTTCAACGCTCGTGCTACCATTTCAATAGTACGTGCAGATGCTAGCATCCCTTAAAGGAATTCTGGATAAGCTTCAGCGCAACCAACTGGATGATCTGATTGCTCACCAGTCTTTACGACTCCAGGTTTAATGTCCGTAAAGACAGCATCGATCTGCTTCCTTACGAACTCAGGGGGTATGTGGTGTATATCACTGACACCAGTAGTATTCTGAGCCGTCAACGCTGTCGTGGCAGTCATAGCATAACAGCCATGGGCCGCAATGACTTTCTGGTCTGCCTCGAGACCACTGTTGGTTTACATCGACGATCCTGTCAGTTGAGGCCCTAAAGGTCGGATGATAGGCTCATGAACTTACGCACCACCGCTTGAATCGCTCCCCGCGATAACAAGAATTCGTCTATTGGCCATGATGCAACTATGTAGAGTCCTACGGATCAACTGACCTTCCTAATTAAGTCAGGGACTTATATGTACAGATTGACGATACTTGCACGAACTTCGCACGAACTTTCCCATGTTGCGCGAGATTTCTTTTTAAGTTCTTAATGGGTTGGACTTAAAGTAGCTCGATGAGTGGGGCTAATTCCATCATCCATCCACTCACCGTCGTCGAGGCCATTGTCTGTACGATACGTATAAGTCGTATGATGTATAGGTAAGTCACTAAGTAACGCTTGTCTAAGAAAAGGGGATTTCCCCCTATTCGCATTATCAAACTCGAATATCATGCAGTTTTCGAGAAAGAAAATATGCTGTATGGTATGGGACTTCTATGTTTAAATTAATGTCTAACTATATGTTAAGAAGTACTTATCCGGTAAGTATCTACCTCCCAGCCAAACTGAGCGTAGGTAGGTATAGTATAGTATAGTTTCTCGTTCCGATTATCCCATCCAAGAGGATATTAGTCGGTGTGCTTAACAACTAATTCATGTACCTAGTTGAAGTTCCTGACTGTCAACGTCACCTCCCAACCCTTAACTCCGTGCCGATCTAGTAGTACAAGAAAGAAAAATTGCCGAGTGTGAAAATGCATGATCTGATCCCAGTGCAGTCCTCCCACCCCCTATTTTGGATGTAATTCTCAATGTAGGCCTCCCGCGCCTGGAAAGTTCAGTTGCTCGTTGAACCCGTCAGTCCCTTCGCACCGTCCGAACAGCCAACGTAATCTCTCCATGTTATTCCGGAGTTCGTCTCTTTCCCCTTCCAAGGCAGCGCACTCGCGCTCTAAAGCTTGAATGTGACGCCGTGCCATGTCTAATACTTCTGCTTTGCTAACTCTACGGTCAGTCAAGTCCAACGATTCCCCTTCATCATCACCCTCGCCAGCTTGCATAGTTTCTGGTAAAGCATCTAGCAGGCTTTCAAAGTGAGCATTGAGTCTGTTCCGATACTGCTTTTCCACTTGGTTATGTGTGTCGCGGCTCTTTTGCTCCTCGACTGTAGCTGGGGGATTATGGTGTGTGTTTTTGCTTGTGCGAGAAGCACTACGGAGTCTAGATCTGCTAGAGTTTGATGTTGAAGACGTGCTTCCAGGTGAAAGTACTTGGGGCTGCTTAGACTTTCTTGACCGTGACGAATGCTTGTTCTTTTTGTGACTAGAACCAGTCGATGTCCCAGCCGATGGAACGCGCGGGCTCATTGTTGCTGCTCCGTACCCTGGCGGATAATTATGGCGATAAGTATCGGCAGCGTCGATGGACCTGGACTCTGGCGGTACGGCTTGGTAAAATGGGAGGCCAAAAGGGTCTCCTGTGGGTGTGGTGAACGATGCTCCGGTAGAAGATCCCATATTCACATCCGTTGGATTATGGCCACCCACAACGTAATGCGGGATACTCGGGACCGAGGCAGGAGGAAGTGACTGATTCTGGTAGCCCAGCATGCTTTCGGAGGCCCTGTCAGGTGCAATAGTTGGATAAGAGGCATACGAGACGTTTTGACCCTGTGATGATGCATGTTCGCCTCTGTAGTAAGTGTCGTCAGAAACGTACGTCGACGACAAGTGCTCCGAAGAAACCATCTGGATATTGTTGTTAGTAGATGATAATTGAAGTTTACTTTGCTGAAAAGGGATGTCTGTCGGTTGTAAATATGATGGCTTCGGGTCTGGACAGGCCGGTTTTATTTACTAGCCGTAGTCCTACGGGGAGGTTCGATGAGACCTAGTCGGAGGCATCCGTGATGCTTATGGAGCCGGCAAGGCTGGTAGGAGTGCCAATAAAAATAGACAGCGGGTAAGGGTGGCACCCCTCGGGGGCTTTCGGGCACACGGTAGGGGGGATCTAGATTAGCCAACCAACTTACTTGAACGGGTAGAGCAACTGAGATACCATAGCATCTAGCATTATACGGCATGTTCCATATAGAAACTTGGATCAAGTTTATGCTACACTCGACTAGCAGGTCTGAGGAATAAATAGTATGGAATATAACTGGAGGCAGTGTAGTAGATGGTACGCAACTATTCTACAAGAATAGTCAGGCTGGGTTGTTTCGATCCTTAGACAAATTTTCCCCAAGCACGAGCTCTCTTACTCTTAAATATGCCATGATAAGCAGACTATTATTGTTATCATACTAGCGAAAGCCTTTATGTACTGAGTAGTGACCAGCCAATATAACAGGACGCTTGCATGGTAGACGATGGGCTCTAGCTAATCTCCAAAAGACGCAAGCAAGGTAGCATGGATGTCCGGGCTTCGGCTCCAGAGGTCACTTGGGTAGCATCGAGTTGGGAGTATATGCCATGTGCCGGTGGGTAGAGGGTTCTTGGGATGGTACGGCATTATTGTGGCATCCTGATATCCTCCATGCTATTCGGCCGCTGTTCCCATAGGGCAGAACCAGAATCAGGGAAAATTCGGTACGAATGCATGTCCCCGAAGAACAGACCATCTTAGGATGTGGTTCTGATCGTGGACTTTTGGCACTCAGGTATTGCTTGAGGTAGGATTAGAAATATTGAAGGTTTCTATATGGAGAACTGGGGAATCGTTTCCCGGCAAAAGATGTTTTCAGTGAAGATCCTCCTGCGGCTCTCGAAACGCTCAGGTAGGGAAATTTTTGAGCTATCATGCTTTGTTTGGGAGTTATTGTACTACCTCGATACCCATGTCTCTCAATGCATTGACATGACCGCCTACGTACTATGTAACCGAGTCGAGTCTGTAAGAGGTGTATCTATTACGCTTAACAGAAATTTTCTCAGCCTCAGGCCTAAGGACGTCCATGTAAGAGAATGGCTATAATTGGCTTCTTGTTTAATATGAGCCTCGTTTCCGGTAACTCCTACGCGCTATAGATAATATTATACTTGGGTACGTGGCGTAGTCAGCCTATAGGTTTGTATATCTAGATGATGGGAATGAACTTCATCGGTCCTATTGTTTATTCACGTATTGAACCCCAGATCCCTTGAATCCACCACCGGTCCCGAGAGCTGAATTTAAGTAATATATCAGAGTTACTGTAGATATAATTAGGTAGTAATAATTTCGATATGCGCCTAGCTAGCTTATTAACAGCTTTAGAACGTATTGCGCTCTGGCATCAAGTGTTACTAAACATTAACAAAGGTACGTTACACAACTTCCTCACTGTTATAATTAAGGTCGCGTATCCTAGTTGATTCCGGGGTTGATGTAGTGCTCTGAAGTAAGCACATGTGCATGTAAAAAGAAGACTCAACTTACGGTAAGTCAGATAGAAATCAGCTCGGTTCCGGGAGGGGAACGCGCCGCAGATCTTTTAATGTCGATTCGTCCAATCAGCAACATCCCCTCATCGAATAAATGCAATCCTTCTCTTTACAAACTGTATTGTAAGCACGAGTTTCAGGCCTAGAAGGAACGCCAATGCCGTTAAGGGGGCGTAGTTCAACTGTTCAATTGTAGCGAGCGGATCTCCCCTATTCTGGTTCTTACGGAGGATTCTACATCTTGGGTTTCACTGGGTATGAATATTTAGGACGCCAATAAAAATAAGAAACTAAACTTACAACAGTTATCATAGCATCTTGCAATTTGTCGACTTGAATTGTATCAATTTAATAAACCTATAGTTATCACTGATCTGTTTACCTATTTTTACAAGATAGGGGTTAAACAGGACTCGTAATAACTTCATTCTCTTCTAAAGTTGTTAGCACAGTTCAGTAGAACTCACCTTAACATGCTCTAGGTGCATACCTATGTTTTTATTTTTATACATTGGTCCCATTGGCCACAGCTGTCTCACCTTGTTGAAACCAGAAAGGGTCGACGTTTTGCTAAGTTCGCCAAAGGGATATTCAATAACTTCCTGGAAAACTACCCCTTGATGAAGTTGGGTACGGCGCAGTCATCTCAGCCTAAGTGATACCTTGTATTACCGAACTGCTACTGACGATGCGATAGTAAACCTACCTAACTATACGAAACTCAACATTTATTAGCGAGTAACGTAGACTCTCACCCACATTGTCTGCGGGAAGCATCCGATCGGCTATATCGTTGCGCTATCGGTCACCTCGTAGCGCCTTGATTATAAGAGACGTTGCTATATAGTCGAAGAAGCACCACGTGCATTTCCCTATGCGGTGCTAGACTGGATAGATTTTGATAGGTATTCATGGACGAATCTAACGGAAAGCTGCAGGAGTTTGCACATTATACTGTTCGGATCTGCCACTTTCATTATCACTTGACCTGTGATTTGAATCGCATATAACTCTTTTCACTGGGCTTACATGCTTAAGCCACTCCGTGATACTCTTCAATAGAGTGCGACTTGGTTTTCAGGGCCGTTTGACAAGATTTCTACCTAAATTCCTGAACAGGTATGATAGCTCGAAATGACTTCCTGTCTCTTGGGGTTTTCTGCGAATGCAACTGGTTTACCATTCTGCCTTCACTAACGGCTCAGCTTAGATTACTGCAAATGAAATGACGTCTGTGAGAGGTTTAGCCAACAGGACTTGATGGATATCCTGCGAGTAAAACCAGAGAGCCAACATGTTTTTCAGCGGACAGCATGTGTGGCGGTGAGGAAGCATTGGTGACTGTTCTAATCATCTCCAGTATTCTAGTGCTTTGCATTTATACCAATATTTCATGGATGCAAGTGAGCTCGCAGAACCGAGTATGCATTGCGTTAGGTATGAAGAGGGAGAGAGAACCTTCACAACTAGCGGTGGCGATTGGGCATCAACTCTTAGCTAAAGTATAGTTGCCTTTCAATAACTTCAACGTCTACAGTATGCGACTTCATGGCTAACAATTAACACTAGTCCACTACAGAGGCCCCTTGGGGTACTCTGAAATAGCCAACATGATGGCATCTTTAACGAAATAAGCCTGGATTCCTCACAAGAGTCTTCTTACACTTGGATATGGAGCATTCAATTCACCATAACCCCGTGTTATATTAATTGGTGTTATTGACTGCTGAGGGCCACCTGGAGGGCTGCAAGTCGTGTTGGTGCTGTGAGGATGTAAGCAAGAAGTAGTAAGACAACTCTATTGAGCAACGAGAAATTATGAACATATCTGAAGCTAAACCGCTCATATAGAGAGAAGCTCTCTGTCTTAGGTGCCTCGACAGTCTGGGGATGTAAGATAGATACCTTGCTACCAGACCAAAGTTAACAGGTACATGACCTCTCTAATTAAGTGTATCTTGATAAGTTCACTTCAATGTCGTCGATACGTTCATAAACCCTCGGTAGGGTCACTTACTACCTAGAAAGCGATTAGTAGCCCTGGATGGATAAACCTAGGAAAACTATCTAAAGTATAGAAATATGTTTCGAGCTGCAGACATACGGTTACGAAGTATACATGATTCAAAGGGCACCAATGGCACTGCTATAATTCATAAAATACAAAGACGGATTAGAGCTCTGAAACATCCTTCAGAGAATATTCTATCAGGATGAAGCTCTAGTTGTTGTCTATGTTAAGCAAGCTAGTGCTCACGAGCGTATGCATCTGATTATGAACGGTCAAGACCTACTCTGCTAGTATCTTCGGTATATTGTGAAGACAGGTACCTAGGATGTCTAGAAGCTGAAAATGCCAATCCCCCTTTTCCAAGTCTATATTTTCCGAGTACATGATGAGCGTGCACCTCTGTCAGAACTTAGCGAGTTAGGTTCCTGCATGTCATCTCTGCAGGTATTATGAAAAACATATCACACACAGGCCCCTGAGGAGTGCTTTATAGCTAAAGTCTTCGATTTTTTGGCCTTTAAATAGTGCAATATTTATATATAGGTAGTTAATCTATTAATGGCAAACTACAACTTATATACTATGCCAGCGTACATTAACATTGAGCTTCATCCCGTGTATATAGATTTTAAGCCTACCTATCTACGTACTTACTGGTAACCTTCTATGTGTGTAACCATAATACAATTATAATAAGGGGTTTTAATTCGAGAGGTCGTTGAGGAGTCGTGTGTAACAAACTATTCAGGCACTTAGGCCCATACATACAAGAGTAAGCCTAACACTCCCCAGAGTTCCACGAACCCGTCACCCGCGGATATAATAAGCTTCACAGGATCGATAATCTTAATTGCGTTTTATAAATCTCTTCCCCGAGCTGGAAATGGATCACCCGCTTGGTTACGACGTCATTGAATAATAGCACATAACAGCACACCTGACGAATCGCGCTCCTTACCGCAGATGGCGCTGACCTGGATTTCATGTCAATACACACCTATACGATGACTTATAAGTAACCAATCGCAGTTCTCGGATCCGAGTCGTGTAACTATAGCACCAAGCACATCTATGGCAGATATGCCCTTCCAGAAGCGGCCCGTTAATATTAGAGGCGTAGAAAAAGGCGCCAGAACTAGGAGGGATTTCGCACATGTGCTGCGCCGTCGGTACT